TTGGGATTCTATGCAAGCGCATGAGAGAGCAGGGAACTCTCAGAACAGAGCCATACCGACAATGTTAAAAAATTTTTTGCTAGTAATAAATAATTGATTCTAACTAAAGTAGTCCTGACTGAAATTAAGCATGGCTGTAGTTCAGGCAGGACACAAGGTACAGTCAAGCTAAAGGTTAAAGCCAGCTGATCTTAAGCTAGCCCTCAGTCAGATGACAGCTTAGCTGATCGCCCTCCAGTCATCCTTCAGATCGCTACACGGCTCATTCCTTTCACATAGGTGCAGCTACAACCGCAGCTATGACGGCTCCTGTGTCGACCCTCAAAGCCATGGGCCAATAGTCGTCAGCTGCGTACAAACGCTATCTGCGCCCCGAGGCTCGGGACATTCTCGAAGCCCAAAAACTATGAGTACCCATAACTTTGGCACATAGATGCTAATTAAATGAAATATATAAACAACCTGCAGATAAATATCCATGCTTGGGCAACGGGTCTCTCTAACCCGTCTTTCTTTCAGCAGCGCTCACCTCCCCTGCTAGCTCCTAGACTGCACGGCATGGTTGTTTTGGGGGGGTTCTGTTCATTGCTGCTCTACCCCTGCCTCCTCTGCCTTCATGATGGCACATGGAGGGCGGGAAGGTGCTCTTCCTGCCGCTGGCCTTTCACCCCTGCCAACGTGGAGAACGGGGGCCCTGAACAGAACCTCGCGTGCGCTCCCTGCTATCGCCTTTCATGATGGCTCGTGAAAGGCAGGAAGGGGCTCTTCCTGCCTTGGGCTTCCACACAAGCGCGTGGAAGGGCAGGGACCTGAAACAGAATCATGCCGCCAAATCTAACTTGCACAATAAAGCTAAAAATTTGGACAAAGTGTACCTGACTGAAATGAAGCATAGCGTTAGTTCTGTCAGGACACAACGTCAAGCGCTGATCCACAGCCAATGGCTAGTAGCCACCTCAACCAGATGATAATCAGCTGATTCACACCTAGATCCTATTGGTTCTTTGCCTATAGAGTGCCTTATTTAAAACTGCACTAACCCAGCCTCTTCCTCTGCTCTGACAGCAAACCAGCAACACACTGCCACACCAGCTCCACCCTCGTGCCAGCTAATTGCTCCGCTGTCCTTGAAGCGCTCCTGTTCCAGGGGGGGTTTGTTCATTGCTGCTCTACCCCCGCCACCTCCGCCTTCATGATGGCTCGAGGAGGGCGAGTTTAACAATTTCCACAACCTCAAGTTCAAAAAGAACACAAACTCAAGTTCAAACACGCCACGAACTCAAGTTCAACAAACAAACAAACTCAAACTCAAGTTCAAAAACACCATAAACTCAAGTTCAACCAACACCCAATTCTCAAGTTCAACAATTTCCACCGACTCAAGTTCAAACAAGACACAAACTGAAGTTCAATGAACACCACATACATAAGTTCAACAAATGTCAAAGTTTTAAGTTCAACCAACACCCAAATCTAAAGTTTAACAATTGCCGAAGCCTCAAGTAAGAAAAACAACAAAAATTCAAGTTAAAACACGCCACAAATTTAAGCTCAACACCGCCACAAACTCAAGTTAAAAAGCACCACAAACCAAAGTTCAAACACGACACAAACTCAAGTTCAAGCAAATCCCAAATCTCAAGTTTGACAATTGCCACAACCTCAAGTTCAAAAACAACAGAAACTCAAGTCAAAACACGCCACAAACTCAAGTTAAACAAACACACAAACTCAAGTCAGAACACGCCACAAACTCAAGTTAAACAAACACACAAACTCAAGTTCAAAAACACCACAAACTCAAGTTCAACCAACACCCAAATCTAAAGTTTAACAATTGCCGAAGCCTCAAGTAAGAAAAACAACAAAAATTCAGGTTAAAACACGCCACAAACTCAAGCTCAACACCGCCACAAACTCAAGTTAAAAAGCACCACAAACCAAAGTTCAAACACGACACAAACTCAAGTTCAAGCAAATCCCAAATCTCAAGTTTGACAATTGCCACAACCTCAAGTTAAACAAACACACAAACTCAAGTCAAAACATGACACAAACTCAAGTTAAACAAACACACAAACTCAAGTTCAAAAACACCACAAACTCAAGTTCAACCAAAACCCAAATCTCAAGTTTAACAATTGCCACAAACTTAAATTCAAAAAACACACAAAAATTCAAACTAAAGTTCAGAGAAAAATACAGACTCAAGTTCAACAATTGACACAAACTCAAGTTCAACAAACACCACAATCTTAAGTTCAAAAAATGCCAAAATTTCAAATTCAACAAATGACCTAAACTCACATTTAACAATTGCCAAAAACTCAAGTTCAACAAACTCAAGTTCAAAAATTGCAACAACCTCAAGTTCAAAAAACACACAAATTCAAGTTCAAAAACACCACAAACTCAAGTTAAATGAACACCACAAAGTCAAGTTCAAAAACACCACAAACTCAAGTTAAATGAACACCACAAAGTCAAGTTCAACAAATGTCAAAGTTTTAAGTTCAACCAACACCCAAATCTAAAGATTAACAATTGCCAAAACCTCAAGTTAAAAAACAACACAAACTCAAGTTCAAACACGCGACAAACTCAAGTTTAACAATTGCCACCAAATAAAGTTCACTAAAAACCAAAGACTCAAGTTAAAAACTCAAGTTCAAAAATTGCAACAAACTCAAGTTCAAACACAACACTCAAGTTCAAACATGACACAAACTCAAGTTCAAACACGACACAAACTCAAGTTCAAACACGACACAAACTCAAGTTCAAACAACACCCAAATATCAAGTTTAACATTTGCCAAAACCTCAAGTTCAAAAACACCACAAACTCAAGTTCTAAACGACAAAAACTCAAGTTCAACAAACACACGAACTCAAGTTCAACAATTGCCACCAACTAATGTTCAGAGAAAAATACAGACTCAATGTTAACAATTGCCACAAACTCAAGTTCAACAAACACCACAAGCTTAAGTTCAAAAAATGCCAAAATTTCAAATTCAACAAATAACCTATATTAACATTAAAGAATTGCCAAAAACTCAAGTTCAACAAACTCAAGTTCAAAAATTGCAACAACCTCAAGTTCAAAAAACACACAAATTCAAGTTCAAAAATACCACAAACACAAGTTCAAAAAAACACAAAAATTCAAGTTCAAAAACACCACAAACTCAAGTTAAATGAACACCACAAAGTCAAGTTCAACAAATGTCAAAGTTTTAAGTTCAACCAACACCCAAATCTAAAGATTAACAATTGCCAAAACCTCAAGTTAAAAAACAACACAAACTCAAGTTCAAACACGCGACAAACTCAAGTTTAACAATTGCCACCAAATAAAGTTCACTAAAAACCAAAGACTCAAGTTCAAAACTCAAGTTCAAAAATTGCAACAAACTCAAGTTCAAACACAACACTCAAGTTCAAACATGACACAAACTCAAGTTCAAACACGACACAAACTCAAGTTCAAACACGACACAAACTCAAGTTCAAACACGGCACAAACTCAAGTTCAAACAACACCCAAATATCAAGTTTAACATTTGCCAAAACCTCAAGTTCAAAAACACCACAAACTCAAGTTCTAAACGACAAAAACTCAAGTTCAACAAACACACGAACTCAAGTTCAACAATTGCCACCAACTAATGTTCAGAGAAAAATACAGACTCAATGTTAACAATTGCCACAAACTCAAGTTCAACAAACACCACAAGCTTAAGTTCAAAAAATGCCAAAATTTCAAATTCAACAAATAACCTATATTAACATTAAAGAATTGCCAAAAACTCAAGTTCAACAAACTCAGGTTCAAAAAACACACAAATTCAAGTTCAAAAACACCACAAACTCAAGTTCAAAAATGCCGAAACTTAATTTCAACCGACACCCAAATCTCAAGTTTAACAAATTGCCACAACCTCATGTTCAAAAACAACAGAAACTCAAATTCAAAAACACCAAAAACTCAAGTTAAAAAAAACCCACACAAATTCAAGATCACAAAACAGCAAAATCTCAAGTTCAAACACGACACAAACTCAGGTTCAACAAACACACAAACTCAAGTTTAACAATTGCCACCAAATAAAGTTCACTAAAAACCAGACTCAAGTTAAAAACTCAAGTTCAAAAATTGCAACAAACTCAAGTTCAAACACAACACTCAAGTTCAAACATGACACAAACTCAAGTTCAAACACAACACAAACTCAAGTTCAAACACGACAAAAACTCAAGTTCAAACACGACACAAACTCAAGTTCAAACAACACCCAAATCTCAAGTTTAACAAATTGCCACAACCTCATGTTCAAAAACAACAGAAACTCAAATTCAAAAACACCAAAAACTCAAGTAAAAAAAAACCACACAAATTCAAGATCACAAAACAGCAAAATCTCAAGTTCAAACACGACACAAACTCAGGTTCAACAAACACACAAACTCAAGTTTAACCAATACCCAATTCTCACGTTTAACAATTTCCACAACCTCAAGTCCAAACACGACACAAACTCAAGTTCAAACACGACACAAACTCAAGTTCAACCGACACCCAAATCTCAAGTTTAACAAATTGCCACAACCTCATGTTCAAAAACAACAGAAACTCAAATTCAAAAACACCAAAAACTCAAGTTAAAAAAAACCCACACAAATTCAAGATCACAAAACAGCAAAATCTCAAGTTCAAACACGACACAAACTCAGGTTCAACAAACACACAAACTCAAGTTTAACAATTGCCACCAAATAAAGTTCACTAAAAACCAGACTCAAGTTAAAAACTCAAGTTCAAAAATTGCAACAAACTCAAGTTCAAACACAACACTCAAGTTCAAACATGACACAAACTCAAGTTCAAACACAACACAAACTCAAGTTCAAACACGACAAAAACTCAAGTTCAAACACGACACAAACTCAAGTTCAAACAACACCCAAATCTCAAGTTTAACAAATTGCCACAACCTCATGTTCAAAAACAACAGAAACTCAAATTCAAAAACACCAAAAACTCAAGTAAAAAAAAACCACACAAATTCAAGATCACAAAACAGCAAAATCTCAAGTTCAAACACGACACAAACTCAGGTTCAACAAACACACAAACTCAAGTTTAACCAATACCCAATTCTCACGTTTAACAATTTCCACAACCTCAAGTCCAAACACGACACAAACTCAAGTTCAAACACGACACAAACTCAAGTTCAAACACGACACAAACTCAAGTTCAAACAACACCCAAATATCAAGTTTAACATCTGCCAAAACCTCAAGTTCAAAAACACCACAAACTCAAGTTCTAAATGACAAAAACTCGAGTTCAACAAACACCACGAACTCAAGTTCAACCAATGCCCACTTCGCAAATTTAACAATTTCCACAACCTCAAGTTAGAAAAACACACAGACTCAAGTTAAAAAATAACCAGAAAATCTAGTTCAAACACTTCACAAAGTCAAGTTCAAAAACACCACAAACTCAAGTTCAACCAACACCTAAGTCACAAGTTTAACAATTGCCACAAACTTCAGTTCAAAAAACACAAAAGCTTAAGATCAAAAACACCACAAACTCAAGTTCAAACACGATTCACAAACTCAGGTTCAACCAAATCCCAAATCTCAAGTTTAACAATTTCCACAACCTCAAGTTCAAAACCAACAGAAACTCAAGTTCAAACACGCCACAAACTCAAGTACAACAAACACCACAAACTCAAGTTCAACAATTGCCACCAAGTAAAGTTCAGAGAAAAATACAGACTCAAGGTTAACAATTGCCACAAACTCAAGTTCATCAAACACCACAAGCTTAAGTTAAAAAAATGACAAAATTTCAAATTCAACAAATGACCTATATTCACATTAAACAATTGCCAAAAACTCAAGTTCAACAAACTCAAGTTAAAAAAGTGCCACAAAATGAAGTTCTAAAACACCACAAACTCAAATTCAAAAAACACACAAACTCAAGTTCAAAAACACAACAAACTCAATTTCAAACACGATACAAACTCAAGTTCAACAAACACCACAAACTCAAGTTCAACAAATGTCACAGTTTCAAGTTCAACCAACACCCGATTCTCAGGTTTAACAATTTCCACAACCTCAAGTTCAAAAAACAACACAAACTCAAGTTCAAACACGCCACAAACTCAAGTTCAACAAACGCCACAAACTCAACTTCAAAAACACCACACAAACTGAAGTTCTAAAACGACACAAACTCAAGTTCAACAAACACAACAAGTCAAGTTCAAGCAACACCCAATTCTCAAGTTTAACAATTTCCACAACCTCAAGTTCAAAAAACACACAAACTCAAGTTCAAAAACACAGAACCTCAAGTTCAAAAAACATAATAAACTCAAGTTCAAATATTCCACAAACTCAAGTTCAATGAACACCACAAACTCAAGTTCAACCAACACCCGATTCTCAAGTTTAACAATTGCCACAACCTCAAGTTAAAAAAAACACAAACTCAAGTTCAAACACTTCACAAACTCAAGTTCAACAAACGCCACAAACTCAAGTTCAACAAACGCCACAAACTCAAGTTCAACAATTGCCACCAACTAAAGTTCACTAAAAACCAAAGACTCAAGTTCAACAATTGCCAAAAAATCAAGCGAAACAAACTCAAGTTCATAAGTTGTCACAAACTTCAAACACGACACAAACTCAAGTTCAAAAACACCACAAACTCAAGTTCAAAAAGACACAAACTCAAGTTCAACAAACAAAACTAACTATTTAGAGTAATTTTGAGGTGTTTGAGAGGTTTTTTGTAGACTAACCCTAGTGGTCCTATGTTGTTGTTGGAGGGGGAAAAGGTTCCAGCTGTCCAGCCACGGCGGCAGCGGTGTGTCTGAAGTCCGGGGTCCTCGGCGGGGGAAAGAAGATAGGCGCTCCGCGGCAAGGTTTGCTGGGACTCGGTGCCGTCGGCGGGTCGAAGCTCAGTGGTGGGCGGCTTGGAGTGATGGAGGTGCGGCGTCTTCTTTCAGGTGGCGGCGCGGTGTCTTCGTCGAGGCGGTGGTCGGTCTTCTTGGTCCAGTGGTCAGTGCTTTGTCTCAATTACAGCAACAGGAATTGCTCTTTAGCACTTAAATGTGCTTTTGACAGGAGAAGACATCCCCAGAGTTGGGCTCGAGTCATGGTTTGTGCTGTTCCTCTCAGACATGGTTGTGTTCTCTTCTCGATGTTTGTATTCCAGAATGGATGTCTCTTGGTTGTATTTTAAACTTTCAAGTAGTTTTAAGTTAATTTTAATGTAGTTTATTTGTTTTAAATTTAGTTTTGCTAAATTAAATTTGTATGCAATCGTAAGGGATTGTGGGTATTTTAGTTCTGAGGGATGAGAGCCTAAGGAATCAATCTCCCTGTTGCAGCAAAGGATTGTGGGTAAAACCGTGAGTGAGGGAGGTACATTTTTCCTGGCATGAGAACCTCAGGAGTCAGTCCTTCCTAAGAAAAAAGAGGGGAGGGGGGAAGACAAACAAAAGCACAGGAACCCTAAAATGAAATAAATTAAAATAAAATAAAATAATATAAAACAATGAAAAAATAAAAAATAAAAAATAAAAGAAGAACAAAAGTGGATTGCAAAAGGGAAAGGAGAAGAAAAAAGGAAAAAAAGAAGTGTCAAAAGCAAATAGCAAAAAACAGAAGTGAGCTTAAAAACAGAGAACAGTTCCCTAAAAGACAGACAGAAATGTAAATTTGATCAATGTCCTAAGGGAAAATCTGCACGTGTATGTGTGTTCTTTTTTACTAGCTTAGTCTGGTGTCACTGATGGTCAGTTATTGATAAGTATTTATTATTTAAATTTTTGATGAAGTTGTTTGTAGTGGGGTTAGCTGGCTAATTTTAGAGTGTTAAAAAAGATGTTAGAGGGGGAGGATTTAGGGGGCACAGCGGTTCCCCTTCAGGTCTCTCTTAATCCTCCATATAGGTGACCCAACAGGGGTTACCCCCCGGCCGGGGTAGGCCGAGGCTGAAGATCACCTATTTGTCATCTGTGAAGGTGAAAATAAAGGGGCAGGGGAGGGAATAAGAAAGAGGGGGGGTGTTAGAGAGAGGGGGAGAGATGAGGGAGAGAGATGAGGGAGAGAGAGAGAGAGGGGGGGGGGAGAGAGAGAGAGAGAGAGAGAGAGAGGTGTTCGGGCTTCCTGAAGGTAATACCCTTCAGGTTTAAGTATTAGGTTATGGGGCTAGGATTAGGTTTAAGGTTTTTGGCGTAAGGGTTAAAATCACTGTCCAATATTTTTTAAGGAACATGTTTCAGACCTTTTGGAGCTAGTTTGACCAAAAAAAAAAAGATAAATGAAAAAAAAATATTTGGGGTGTTCGGGCTTCCTGAAGGTAATACCCGGATATTAGGTTATGGGGCTAGGGTAAGGTTTAAGGTTTTTGGCATAAGGGTTAAAATCACTGTCCAAAACCTTTTTAGGAACATGTTTCAGACCTTTTGGAGTTGGTTACACCAAAAAAAATGTAAAATGAAAAAAAATTTTTTTGGGGTGTTCGGGCTTCCTGAAGGTAATACTAGGTTTCTGGGCTAGGGTAATGTTTAAGGTTTTTGGCGTAAGGGTTAAAATCAATGTCCAAAACCTTTGTAGGAACTCTTTTCCAACCTTTGAGAGCAAGTTAGACAAAAAAAAAAAAGATAAATGAAAAAAAAATATTTGGGGTGTTCGGGTTTCCTGAAGCCCCCGTATTAGGTTATGGGGCTAGGGTAAGGTTTAAGGTTTTTGGCGTTAGAGTTAAAATCAGTGTCCAAAACCTTTTTAGGAACATGTTTAAGACCTTTTGGAGTTGGTTACAACAAAAAAAATGTAAATGAAAAAAAAAAAATATTTGGGGTGTTCGGGCTTCCTGAAGGTAATACCCTTCAGGTTTAAGTATTAGGTTATGGGGCTAGGATTAGGTTTAAGGTTTTGGCGTAAGGGTTAAAATCACTGTCCAATATTTTTTAAGGAACATGTTTCAGACCTTTTGGAGCTAGTTTGACCAAAAAAAAAAAGAAAAAGAAAAAATATATATTTGGGGTGTTCGGGCTTCCTGAAGGTAATACTAATAGTATTAGGTTATGGGGCTAGGTTAAGGTTTAAGGTTTTTGGCGTGAGGGTTAAAATCACTGTCCAAAACCTTTGTAGGAAGTCTTTTCCAACCTTTTGGAGTTAGTTAGACAAAAAAAAAAAGATAAATGAAAAAAAAATATTTGGGGTGTTCGGGCTTCCTGAAGGTAATACCCTTCAGGTTTAAGTATTAGGTTATGGGGCTAGCATTAGGTTTAAGGTTTTTGGCGTAAGGGTTAAAATCACTGTCCAATATTTTTTAAGGAACATGTTTCAGACCTTTTGGAGCTAGTTTGACCAAAAAAAAAAAGAAAAAGAAAAAATATATATTTGGGGTGTTCGGGCTTCCTGAAGGTAATACCCGGGTATTAGGTTTTGGGGCTAGGTTAAGGTTTAAGGTTTTTGGCGTGAGGGTTAAAATCACTGTCCAAAATTTTTGTAGGAAGTCTTTTCCAACCTTTTGGAGTTAGTTAGACAAAAAAAAAAAGATAAATGAAAAAAAAATATTTGGGGTGTTCGGGCTTCCTGAAGGTAATACCCGGGTATTAGGTTATGGGGCTAGGGTAAGGTTTAAGGTTTTTGGCGTAAGGGTTAAAATCACTGTCCAAAACCTTTTTAGGAACATGTTTCAGACCTTTTGGAGTTGGTTACACCAAAAAAAATGTAAAATGAAAAAAAATTTTTTTTGGGTGTTCGGGCTTCCTGAAGGTAATACTTTGTATTACCTTTGTACGAAGTCTTTTCCAACCTTTTGGAGTTAGTCTTTTGTAGGAAGTCTTATCCAACCTTTTGGAGTTAGTTTAGACAAAAAAAAAAAGATAAATGAAAAAAAAATATTTGGGGTGTTCGGGCTTCCTGAAGGTAATACCCGGGTATTAGGTTTTGGGGCTAGGGTTAGGTTTAAGGTTTTTGGCGTTAGGGTTAAAATCACTGTCCAATATTTTTTAAGGAACATGTTTCAGACATTTGGGAGTTAGTTAGACCAAAAAAAAAAGAAAAAGAGAAAAAAAAATATTTGTGGTGTTCGGGCTTCCTGAAGGTAATACCCGGGTATTAGGTTATGGGGCTAGGGTAAGGTTTAAGGTTTTTGGCGTTAGAGTTAAAATCAGTGTCCAAAGCCTTTTTAGGAACATGTTTAAGACCTGTTGGAGTTGGTTACACCAAAAAAAAATGAAAAATGAAAAAAAAAATATTTGGGGTGTTCGGGCTTCCTGAAGGTAATA